CGCATAAGGCCAAGGTATCACAGTAGGCGGCTAAAGAGGAGGCAGCTGATAGGTTTGTCCTGGTGCAGTACACAGTCAATCTTTGGAGATGTGATCAAACAGAGGACTTTTAATGAGGTGCTAGCCCAGTCGAATTAATAATTTCAGGCGATTGATACAGTAGTCGCCGGCTATTAAGCCCACGGTTAATAAGCTCGCCGCTTATTAAGCCCAATTTGGTCTGGGCCCGAGGTGGGCTTAATAGCCGGCGACTACTGCAATATTTAGAATGTATAGTCGAGGCTTCGCATTCGTATAAAAGCATCGTAAGCCTTGGATGGCTGCAAAAGACGAAATTGGAATGCCTCTTACCACCAGCACATCCGGCACCCTCAAAATAATAACCAGCCAACACAAGTGGACTATGAAGAGGGTTGTCAATCAGTAAACACGACAGTGATAATGAGGCGTTGTTGCAGAGCCGACAGTCGCGTGTACAACAACTGACCAATAACAGTCGTGCAGGCGGTGTTAAAATGGCCCGTGGAGGTGGTGGGATTCTTTAGCTCCCACAGACTAATGTGGTACAGACAACAGGCAAGCGATATGTATTGCGGTGTACTAGTTGCATTTTTTGCGTGGTCCCCGCAAACGCCTACGCTATACATGCACTGGACGGAAACGGAGTTGGATTGGCTCACGGCACCACGTATTAATCTAGCCGCACAGGGCTCGCGCGAACTCGTAGCTAGTACCATATATGCGCAGGTAGAACGCTTTAGGCATAGACCCTTATACCAATGAGCCCTATCCCATTAAAAGATAGGCTCATACAGTTGACTGGTGCACGGGAAAAGCAGAAGAGGATGAGGCTGGCATTAGCAATTCCATTCTCACGATAAAGCAGCATATTCCTGACGCGATTACAGCTATCTCGATGCGCTGCAAGCGTGCGCTTTCGGTCCATCTGAATAAACATCCAGTCTAACGGTTAAGGTAGAATTCGGAGTGGCTCGGCACTTTTGGAAGTCGAAACAAATAGGCATGGAAATACTCGAAACCGGCCTCGGGTTTCGTAATTAAACCTCTCAGTCCGACCATAAAATACGATGAAACCAGTGGGCTAATGACCTATCTCTGCTAACTTGGATCTGATTTTCAGACAAAGGCGCAGCACAGGTATGAATTCAATCGCCGGATCAACCAGAAGGGCGTTTGGCCTTCAAATAATCGGGAGCGTGACCTGTGCGCTTATGGATAATACGCCACGCAAAATGTCTGCATTTGTGACGCTTGCGCTCCGTTTCCCAAATTCGTCTCTCAAACGCCAGTCAAATGCGCCTTTTTACTCGTCAATTGATGCACTGTCCTGAAAGCGGAACCATTCGGGGCGCCATCTTGCACTGAGTTGCTCATTGTTGATGATAGCGTTAAACTGATCAACTAAAGACTACCGCTGACGCCACTCAGGTTACGCTTGACAGCAATTTGTGTCATAGGATGTACAGTCATTCACAGGAATTCGCTGAGAGATGTTTCATTCCTTCTTCAGTATGTACGTAATTCCTCGGTACAGCGTCACTT